CCCTACACCTGAAGAAGGATATTTGTGCCCAAAAACTTGCAAAGAACAATTCTTCCAACTATTTAGTTGGTCTAATAAAAGATATCACATCTACCCAAAGAAACTTGTCTGAGCTAATTTGTGGTATGCCTGCCAAAAAGGTTGTTTCCCACGGATCTGTTGGATACCTAAATTCTGAACATTAGTAAAAGTAATTCAAAGTAAAATGTTACAGCTAGAATTCCATCCTCTGCTGCTTTCAAACTTTCCTTCTTTGTTGACCAATCCTGAGGTACTCAGCTCCCAGTAGAAAGTCAATGAAAGGAATCAACACCTCTGAAAAATAATTATGGACAGCTTGTGCGACTTTTATTATGTTTCACAAAATTCTGGCCCCCTTTAAGTCAATGAGAGTTTTGTTTGACTTTCAATGAAGCCACATTTCACATTTAGTTTTTTCTTAAACCCAGCTTCTGGAGTCTTGTGAGTAAATGAAAATCTCACCTTTTATTTAAAAAATCAAGTTATTGACCCCTGTGATTAAGGCTTGCAAAGGAGAACTGTAAAAGCATGAAAATCAAAAGGCAAAGACAAACAAATTGCTTTTTATTTAAAAAAAATTCATAAGTCAATTTTACAATTTTGAGGTCTGTTTTATTCTTTTTGAATACTTGGAGCTGTCTGTAATCAATCAGGCCAATAAAGGTGAAAAAACAAGGAATCACCAGCTGTGACAGGTAGTTTATTTAATCCACTTCCCATATCTCTCCACTTATGTGTTTCCACTTTCCATTTGGAACTAGTACAAGGTATGTGAAGTGAAAGGTGGTCTCTCTTTTTCCTGGTACATGTAGGCATGCACTATGCAATACTTTTCAGAGCTAAAACATTTATAAAATTAGAAATGTGTTGCTTGGAAGATTGACTATAAAAAAGAATTTATCTATGCTCCCCAAACTGATCCAAAACTTATGCTTTGTCTCCAGAACCCAGGAACTAGCAACATGGAACAGCACCATGAACTAGGACAGGGGTGTCAAAGATACAGCCCACGAGCTGGATGCAGCCCACAGACCCCTATCATCCAGCTTGCAGTGCTACCTGTGGCATGTAGAACCCATCTGGCATGGGCTGCACATGGCTTGGGGGCTGGAGCTGGTGTGCATGCAGCACACAGGGTCAGTCTGGGTCATGAGTTGCATGCAGCACTTGATCCTGACTGGCCCCACACACTGGATTCAGGGTCACTCCAGATCAGACCCACAGGTCTGGCATGTGGGTACCTGGCACATGGGGCTGATTTGTGGGCCCATTCTGGCCTATAGACGAGCTCCACACCCCTTATCCAGCCCATTGGGCCAGATGAGTTTGACAGCCCTGAGCTAGGACAATGCTTTGTGGACTGGCAGGAGCAGGAGCACATGGTTTCACTTCCATGCTTTGTCTCCAGGAAACATTTGGATAGCAAACAGCTTTTTAAACTGAAATATGGCTAGATCAATTAGAATAGGCATGTGCATTGTAGACAGAAATCTTGACCTTTTATAACCTAATACAAAACAGCTTGTATTCTTACAGTGACTTTCATGCCAAAAGATCAGAAACTTACCAACCCACCATCAAACTGCACCAACTTCTTTAGCCACACTGTTTGAAACAATAGAGAATACTACAGAACAAAAAATGAAGAATACTTACTGGAATAAATTTAAGTAGGAAGTAAAGTAGGGAGTTTGTAACTGGGTCAGTTGGAAATTATCTAGAAAACCAGGATGAATGCCACTATCCTTTTGAAAAGTGCTGTGGGATATCTGGGCCCCTGATAGACATTACAGTTAAGATGTGATTAAACAGTTAATCATGTCTTAAGTAGTAACTCGTCCACATGCTCATGCAATGAATGGTGCGATAAAATGGAATGAGCCACAAAATGATTATATAAAAGTTCCCACCATGCCTGAAATCAAATGTGTAGCTTGCGTGCTCCCAGGGCTGGGAGGACAATGAGGTGATCTGTGCTTCCAGCCTTGGGAGCACACTGGAGAATTGACTGGCACTCCCAGCCCCAGGAGTGCACCAAAGGCCTTCAAGACTCTGGTGAGCTCTCAGGACTGGGAGTGCTCATCAGCTGACTGGCACTTCCAGCTGTGGGAGCGCAATGGGCATTCCGCTTGATCCTGGGTTTGATCCCAGGCTCACCCCTGCATTGGCAATAGGGTACAACTGGGATCCGATCCCTGATCCCATAATCCTGCCTCCTGACATGCATGTGTAGCGTGGCAGAAGCAGGGTGTGAATTACAGGGGAGCTTGGGGGGCTGAGCCCCCCCCATAAGAGATGAGAGCCCTCTTGTAAGATATGAAAATCATAACCTGGGGGTCTTTGATGGAATTGCTCTTTCCAATGAACCAGTTTAATGTTTTTTGCAGAGACCCGAAGTCTCAATGTGCAATTCAGACCCTGGGCAGGAGGTGTGAGCTGCTGGGATGAAAGATCAGATCCCATCTGCCCTTCAATGAACAGCAGTCAGGGACCTTAATGACAAGGGCCGGTCTAGACTTTTGAAGCAGGGGTGCAGATGGGGGGGATGCATCATCACATGGGAAACAGCACCTATTTGTCTCCCGTTAAAAATAAAGGAGAAGCTAGCTTTATTAGTAGGCGAGGGGCCTGGGGCTGTATTATCCCGTCGAAGCTGGAAGCAAAAACAAATGTCACTGCGCTGAAGTGAGTTAAAGACAGTCTGCAGGGCTGCCACATAGGAGCTGCACTCAGCGGAACAAGGGCCGGCTGGATCGGTGGAGCAGCGAGAGCCTCCGGAGGAGAGGGCCCTTCACCCCCGCGCAATGAGGAGTCTGCAAGGAATCGGGGTGATTATAATGAGCCGTGAAGCTAATTGCCTCCTTCAGCGCTGCCTGGCTAGAAAGGCGGCTGCCACTGCCAGGCCCCTGGGTTTAAACGCTGGGTGGAGCGGGGATGCAAGGGGAGGTTGGGGCACAAGTGCCGCCCGGCTCCGCTTCTGCTCAGCGGTCACAAGTGGCAGAGAGCCGCCCGCAGGGTGTCCTGGCCCGGCCCGGCCCGGGGGCACCGCGCCCGCTCCCCGCCGGGGGAGGCTCTTCAGCAGCGGC